GGGGGGGATTGAATGGTAAGGGGTAAGGATGTCGTGCCGTCATGTATGGGCGATCCTGAAAACGGCCGGCGGCCTTTCATGTCGCCACGTGGCAGCCAGGTAAATCTGGAGTAATTAGATAGTAATTAGATAGTAATCAGATAGTAATTAGATAGTAATTAGATAGTAATTAGATAACACAATCCAGAGACTTGCAATGTGGACGTTTCCGTCGATGGATGATGGACTGGAAAAGTGTCTTTATTGCTTCTCTTGTGCCATCTATTCTGCCACTTGCACCCAGCCAAACGAGCAACGAGCATGACGCCATCTTCTGGTCACTCTTGCAGATTATCCGCACCTCCCAACCATTCCCTCTACCAGCTTTTTCTCTGAGTCTATCCTCCTACCTCATCTCCATCGCCATCCCTATCCTCATCCCCATCGTCATCCCCATCCACATCTCTTTCGTCTCTCAAGTTTTTGCATAACCCCCTTACTTTGCGGCTACACCATTATCCTGTCAAAAGATCGTTGTTCATTCGATGTTCCTCTCCCTCTCTCTCCCCCTTCCTCTCCCGTAAATGTTTTTTTTTTCTCTCTCCCTCTCTCCCTGTGTGTCTGTCTCTCTCGCTGTCTCTCTCTGTCTCTCTCTCTGTCTCTCTCTGTCTCTCTCTGTCTCTCTCTCTGTCTCTCTCTCTGTCTCTCCCTGTCTCTCTGTGTCTGTGTCTGTGTGTCTCTCTCTCTATCTCTCTCTCGCGTCCTCCTCTCCCTCTCAACCTGTATCTCTCTCTCCTTCTGTCCCACTTTCTGTCCGCTTATTGTCTTCTCTGCCTCTACTGCCTCTCTCTCTCTCTCTCTCTCTCTCTCTCTCTCTCTCTCTCTCTCTCTCTCTCTCTCTCTCTAGCGTCCCTGTCCTCCCCAAGGGTCGCCCTCCCTCCACTGTCTCTTTATTAGTATTACTACCATTTGCTCCCCCTCCTTCCCCCACCCTCTTGCGTGTTTGTGTGTCTGGCGCTCTCTCTCTCTCTCTCTCTCTCTCTCTCTCTCTCTCTCTCTCTCTCTCTCTCTCTCTCTCTCTCTCTCTCCCCTGAGCCAGGACCAGTCATAGCTGCTGTTGCCGAGCTCTCCCTCTCCGCGTTTGCTTAACGAGCAGGAGATTCACCGCGTGTTGTGTTGTGTTTGTTGTCTCTCTTCGCACTCTGCGTGCTCCTCGCTCGTGCGCATGTTGCAGGATGGCGGCGCTTCGATAGGTGGAGGCGCCAGCTCCCAGGAGAAAATCGCCGCCTTGTTATGCGAACGAGCAGCGCGCGTGGCTGTGGCGGCCGATTTCTCGCTTGCAGATGTTGAGGGTAGCATCCCTCTTCATCTGCAGATCCCGTTGCTCAAGGCGCTCGAGAGCCACGATGGAAGTCGAGCATTGCGCCATCGCTGCGATCTCCACCGGTGGTTCGTACGCAAGGCGCTCCAGGCTTATCCGGTTGGATCGGCGATGATGGGAGGAGTGGGCGGAGGAGCAGGTGGTGTCGGGGGAGGTGGGGGGACGTCGGCGGGAGTTGGCGGCTCGGCAGTCTCAGGCGGCGGTGGAGGGGCCTTCACCAGGGGCGGGGCCGGCGGGGGTTTGAATGCAGGCTGGGGTGCTGACGACAAAGACGGAGGTGTGCGCGTGCCTTCCATGGGGAGTGCGGGGGGCGCCTCGCTCGCCGATGCCCTGGAAACAGCGCAACGAATCCTCTCTATCTCGGGTCTGAGCAGCGATCTCCCGCGAGACGAGGGCGCAGCGGTCACCTTTGTCGAGCGCGTCCTTGCAGATCAAGCCGGTGACCTGGCTGTGGATTCCCTTGTAGGAGAGAGAGCAACTGACGGAGGAGGAGGAGGAGGAGGAGGAGGAAGAGGAGGAGGAAGAGGAGGAGGAAGAGAGGATGTTATTCCCAAGCAGCCGGGGAATTTTGAGGTCGGCGAAGTGGAGCTTATAAGAGCTGAAGGAGAAGGGTCGTTAGATGGAGAAGAGGAGGAGGAGGAGGATGACGATGATGATGATGATGATGATGATGATGATGATGAGGAGGAGGAGGAGCAGGAGGAGGAGAAAAAAGAGGAGGAGAATGCAAGTAGAAAACTGCGCAAGTCAGAGAATGGGGCAAGGATGACCGGAGGGCGGTTGGGAAGCGACGATGGGTGGAAGGGGAGGAAGGGAGAGACACTTGGTCCTCGGTACCTGTTTGAGGTGATGCTGGACGTGGGCGAGAGTCACTTCATGAGAGGACGATTGGAGAGAGCGCTACGATGCTTTGCACGAGCGGCAGAGGTACTCCGGAGCCAAATGGAGGAAGAGTTGGCGGAGGGGAGAAGTGGGAGGAAGGAGGTGGAAGTGCAAGACGAGTCAGTGAGCGGGAGGGAAAGAGGGAGGGGAGGGAGAAAGTGGCAAACGAGCATAGCAAGCTGGGATGGAACTGATAGGTTGGGAGGGTTCATCATGGCCTGCAGGATGTTGATGAAAGGAGGGTGTGTGGAGGCTGAGGTGGGAGAGAGAGTACCTTCTCATGGAGGAGGAGGAGAGAGAGCGGAATCAGGGCCCACGGGAATGGAGTGGGAAGAGAGAGGAAGGGGGACCTCCTGGTCTGTGGAGGCGGACTTGTTGTGCTCTCTGGGCGCATTGAACGATTCTCGCGAGGCGATCGTTCGTTGTGAGGATGAGCGGCTCAGATTGCATGTGGTCCAAGAGCAAGAGAGAACAGCAGCGGGGGCGGAGGAGAGAGAGAATGGAGGTGGTGGTGTGTCTTCTTCAGGGGCAGGGGCAGCAATTCTCTCCACGTTACGGGAGGACCTCATAGGCGATCACCCACCCTACCTCTCTTGGGGGTACCGAGATTCTCTGGAGGGAGACAGCCAGCTTCCGTCCGATTTGCTGCGGCAGATAGGGGCGTTTAACATAGTGAAAGAAGCATTGGAAGGGACGGCGATGGAGGCGTTTCAGAGGAGGGGGGCACGGTTCAGGGGTGACAGGAAGGGGATCAAGTTCTTGATGGGTCTGCTGGGAGAGGCGTTGGTAATCAAGAAGGCGGCATCTAGGAAGAGGGCGAAGGAGAGGAGGAGGAGGAGGAGGAGGAGGAGGAGGGTAAGGGGAGTGGAAGAGAAGGAGGGTGGGGGGAAGATTGGTGGGAAGGTCGCATCATTGCCGGCGGAGGGGAGTCGAAAGAGGAGGAGGATAACGACGGGGGAGGAACAGAAGCATGAGGGTCTTGGCCATGGAGACGTCTTGGCTGCATGTTTCCGTGATAGAATGGTGGTGGATGACAAAGAGGCGGAAGGAGAGGAGCAGCAGCAGCAGCAGCAGCAGCAGCAGCAGCAGGAGGAGGAGGAGGAGGAGGAGGAGGAGGAGGAGGAGGAGGAGGAGGAGGAAGTGGAAGAAGATGCTACTGCAAGAAGACAAGGAGAAAGGCTGAAAGAGCTGGCCGTTATCATCTGCTGCTCCTTTGACGAACGTTTTTGCTGGGAGCTTGCTGTCAGGCATGGGCTCGTCTCGTGGGAGAGGGCATCCAAGCTGGCTGGTTACCCTATCCGGCTACGAGACGAAGGGGCTGCAGAGATCACCAATCTTGATAAGAAAAAGGGAGGGAGGAAAGGGGATGCAGATGGGATAGCATGGTTGTGGTTGGCTGAAACCAGGGGGGGGGAACTCGTTGGAGAGGGCCCGCGATCGAGCATTGAGGTTAATGTGACTGAGCGGGAGGTGGTAGATGTACGGACCAGCACTACTCCTACTCCTACTACTACTGCTGCTGCTGCTGCTGCTACTGGGTCATTTACTACTACTACTACTACTGCTGCTGCTGCTGCTACTGGGTCACTTACTACTACTACTACTACTGCTGCTGCTGCTATTGCTGCTGCTGCTACTGGGTCATTTACTACTACTACTACTACTACTGCTGCTGCTGCTACTGGGTCATTTTCTACTACTACTACTACTGCTGCTGCTTCTACTGGGTCATTTACTACTACTACTACTACTACTACTACTACTACTACTACTACTACTACTACTGCTGCTGCTGCTGCTGCTGCTGCTGCTGCTGCTGCTACTGGGTCATTTACTGCTACTGCTACTGCTAATGGGTCATTGATTCCGGGTGAGGGGAGGGAGAGAGAGGAGAGCAGTCCTGTTGTGGGGAGGGAAGAAGGAGCAGGCAAAAATTGCATGTTTTCCACTAGTGAGGCCACATATGGGCTCCCGGTCGAACGAGGAGAACAGCGATCTGTAGGCAGTCCTTGTACGCAAAGGGAAGGAAATGAGCGAGTTCGGCAGCAGCCTGGAAGTTGGTATCCCGACGAGACGGGAAGGGCGAGGCAATTGCGACTGGGAGAAGAGGGAGAGGTTGAGGCGCAGAACGTTACGAGAGCTCCTGAGGTGCAGATTGACAAGCAGCCAGAAGAAGATCTGATCCTGTACCGCTCCTCACAGGACCACGACCATGGCAGTCAGTCGAATCAGCCGTTGCTGATGTTGCACTCATGGCATCATCAAGTGTGTCTTCTGTTTCGTCTCCTCCATTCAGATACCTTGTCGGAGATCCAGGACTTGGTCGTCGAAGCAAAGAAGGGTTTGGCCATTCTTGGCACGGAGCATCCCATCTCCCATCTCCCTTCGACAGCAAGATTGAACACGGTTCCTGTCTTGGGAGAAGAGGAGGAGGAGGAGCAGCAGGAGGCAAAGCGATCACATGCTGGACAGTTGGCTGCACAGAAGAGTGCGGCTCAGTCCACTCATCTGGTCCAGCTTTTGCCTTTCCTAGAGTTTGACGTGGCAACAATGCTGCACCAACGAGGCCGTGTTCTTGAGCGTTGCGGGTGGATGGATCAAGCGGACAAGCTGTATAATGCGGCGCTTGCTGTGTGGCCAGAGGATGTCTGCAGCCATTCGAAGGCGTGGATGATGAGGCGGCTGCAGGCCGGTGGCGCAAGTGCGAGTGTGGTGGACGATGGGAGCAGATCCAGCGAGCAAGAGGAGAAAGACGTGGGCTTTCTGAGCGAGAAGTCGGCTGCGAAGGCGTTCAGCGGGGTTCCCAAATTTGATTGCATGGAGGGGATTATCTTGCGCCTAGTGGATGCAGAAAAGTGGAGGGAGCTTTTGGATATATGCGACTGGGCTGCGAGGCGTGTAAATTTTATTATGGTGCAGAAGGAAGGTGAAAGTCAAGCTCTGGGTAGTTTGCAGGAAGCCCCCAGGAAGGCGGCTGAGTATGGCGCCCGTTGGAGACGGTACATGCAGATGCTACGACTGGGAAGGATACTATCGACTCTGATGCCGATGTGTCTGTCATTGCAGGCAGCACAGAGGAACCAGTTTACTGAGGAAGGGAAGAGGTTGAGTACGCTGGCTTGGCAGCGCTTCGAAGACTTCATGTGCATTCTCGCAGGAGGAGGGGAAGAGACCGAGGGGGTGGGGTTTGGGGAAGATGGGTTGACTCCATTTCCCAGGCCAATGCTTCCAGCACCGCCCTTCCCTGGTGCGGCGGCGATTCCTGTCATTTCCAAGATCGGAAATGTGCGTGTGCTGCAAAGTCTGGCTTGTTTGACGGCGGGGTGGCTTCATCGTTGTCACTTTGCTGGGCTGTCGAAACTGCCGTTGGCGGTAGATCGATACGGCTTTCTTGCGAACGTCACAGCCAATCCCTTGCTCCCATCTCAAGGCGTTTCGGCGTCCCCAGCGGGGCTGGGCGCAGGAGGCGTCGGAGCAATGCCCGTGACTCCTGGCACAGTCTACCGGAAGCCCTCGCCCGTGGCCCCGAGGGTTATTCCTGAATTTGGGCGTGCAATCTTCAAAGTGTTTTTGGAGGGGCTAGCTGGGCTCAGGGGAGCTGTCGAGGAAGATCGCGAAAGGGGTCATCGGTGGCTACAAGGTCTTGCTGATCTTGCGTATGAATCAGAAGCGTATGTGGAAGCCCTGCAGCTGTATCTCCAGGTTGGTCCATCGCGATATGACCGTTGGTTCCATCTGCAATGACCAGGAATGCCTCTTTTTCTTTTTGCTTTTTTTTTTTGTTTTTTTTTTTTTTTTTTTTTGTTTTTTTTTTTTGTTTGCCCCTGCTGCTGTGTTTGTCCATGATTATGGCATTTGACCCCTTCTGCAGTGACCACGAATGTTTCTTTTTCCTCTCTCTCTCGCTCTCTCCTTGGTGGCCGAGGGGAGATCCGTGATCCCAATGGCAGGAGGGAGGTGGGCGGAGGCCGAGGGGAGATCGGTGATCCCAATGGCGGGAGGGAGGTGGGTGGAGGCGGACAGGAGG